TAGTTTGGGCCATCTGGTTTTTCGAGTTTTGGGATAGGGAACATTATTAGGCCTTGGGCTAAGGCCCATGTGAGGGATTTGGGCACAATTGGAAATTATGCCATATTTTGGGCCGTGATGGACTGTGTGACTCTTGGGCCTATTGGATGGTGGTTATGGGCTCCATTCTTGTACCAAGCTATGTTAGGGGTAAAATGGTCTTTTTACCCCTTAAGTTGAGGTTTTTGGTCATGATGTAGATCCCAAATGTTAATTAGTTTTTATATGGCAATTGATATCTCGGGGAGTTGTAGGACCAACAGTCGGTGATCATTCGTTTCTTTCAGCTTTTGAGGTGAGTTTCCTCACTGGGTTTAGCGGGTCGAAGGCACCAATGCCGGCCTATGTTTATGATATGTTAGCATGCTAGCTATCTACGTGACTCTTGCATGTGTTATCTGCTTATATGTTCACCGGGCTAAGACCCGATATTTGGCGGGCCCCGATAACCATTTTATATGTTATGTATCTTTGTGATTATTTGATATATGTTATATGTTAGGCTGGGCCCGACCTATTACCGAGCGGGGCCCGATGACAGGGCGAGGCCCATTATATGTTTATTGTATGTATGGTGTGTGATATTTTGGGGAATTCACTAAGCTTTGTGCTTACGATTTTTAGTTTATGCTTCAGGTACTTCTGGTTCCAAGGGGAAAAGATCGGATTGACTGCATTGCACACACCTTATGGATTCCGTTTATGGGACATACTATGATTTTTATGATTTTTGACATATTTACTATATTGGGATGTATGAATAATGTTTTGGAATATTGTTTTTACTTAATATAAAAATGAAAATTTTGGGTCATAATTTTTGGACGTTTCACACTCATTGATGACCTGGGACTTAATTTAAGATATAGATACAATGTAATATCTAATCAATACAAGGTACTTTACTTATTTGTCCTTCATTTCCCTTTTTAGTTGCAAAATTATTTTGATATAATTTACAATTTTTAACAAGGTCTGATTGAGGCTGTCAAAAAACTCCTTCCATATGTAGAGCACAAGCAATGTGCTAAACATATTAGCCAAAACTTAAGAAAAAGGTATAGTGATGCCCATTATGAACCATATTATGGAAGGCTTGTAAAGCAACAACTGAGGTAGATTTTAAGATTGCCATGAAAGAACTTTAAGATCTAGACCCAATTACTCATAAGTATATGATGGACAAACATCGGTCTAATTCCAAATAAACGAGCTTCCACTTCCACATATTCTCATTCTCATTCCAAATCTCAATGCCAATTTGATGTATAACAAATGCAATAATACTTCTAACAATATAATGCACCATTCACAACATATATTCCTAACTCCCAACCACCACTATTTTTCATAACTTTCTATTCAACTCCAATACACAAGGAAGTACCTCTCAACAAAATATCGAGCCCAATAGAATAGAAGAAGAAGAATATGATAATGATTGTTGATGCTTTGTGTTATTTTGAGCAATGTTAAACTAATTATTGTGATATTAAACTCGAATTTGATGTTTTGAATTTAAACAATGATAGCTAGTTATTGTATCTCAATTGATATATGCTGCAAAGTGTTTGGATTTATTAAAAATGTAGGAATGGTAACATACAAAATTTGTAAAAACTAAAAAAAAATGTAACAGCCGGGTTTCCAGGTATATTATTTTATTTAATCATTTTGAATTATGAGAAGGAATTCGGCGAGTTGATGCGTAGACTCACCGAGTAGGGTCGTGATTGTTCATCCGGATTCGCTTTGGACTCGGCGAGTCCATGAGTGGACTCGGCGAGTCCCCGCTGTTTAATGAAACCCTAAATCCCCGGGTTTGGAGCCTATTTAAGGGAACTTATAGCCTCTCATTGCGGCTACCAATCCCTTGAGAGAACCATAAGTGATCCAAATCATTGAAAGGAAGAAGAAGACACTTTTGATCCTTGTATCTTTGGTTTAGCAAGAAGGAGGTGCAAGAGCAAGAGGGGAGGTGCGATTCTAGCAGTTCCAGGGATTCAGAGACTTCATTTTGAGGTAATAGTTCGAACCTCCTTCAGTTTTGGTGTTGATCTATATAGTTAGGGTTTTCTAACCCCTTTGGAGAGTGATTATGTGGAGCAAATGGTCCCTCTTCGAGTTTGTGCCTTGGATCTGGACTCAAAGAGGTCCAGAGACCTTAACCCTTGGAGCTTTATGGAATAGTTTGGGGTTACTAGACTTAGGTTGCCATTTTTGGGACTAAATCTCCTTTTGATGCCTTGTTGTTGTTATACAAGCATCAAGTTTCGAGCTTTACGTGACATTCATGCTTGGGAAGGCCAGATCTTTGATTTAGGGAAACAGATCTGACCTCGGGAGGCCAGTAGAGTTTGTGCATGGCATGAACTCGCCGAGTTGTTCCTGAGACTCGGCGAGTAGGGTTAGGGTTTCACGTAAATTGCTCAGTGAGTAGACTTGCTGAGTTGGGGGATGACTCAGTGAGTTAGAAGGGAGTTAGAGGATTGGAGTTCAACGCAACACTCGCCGAGTTGTTTTTGAGACTCGGCAAGTTGAGTCGTGGTGGCCCCGCGATTCATGCCTAGTATGACTTGTCAAGCATAGGGAGGGACTCGGCGTGCTAAGCGGAACAAAGTGTTAAAGAACATGTGTGAACTCGCCGAGTCACCAGAGTGCACGCGGTGAGTAGGGTCAAAGTGTGACCGTTGATTTTTAGGGTTTGGTCAATGGAGTACTTGTGTTGAGAAGGGGTAAAATAGCCTTTTTCCATCCCGAGGGTGCCAAAGGCAGGTTGAGTCTAGTCTCGAGAATTATATTTATAAGAGTATTTACTTTATGTGAATAGGCGAAGACTAGGCAATATTCCTATCGAGTCAGAGATTTACTGAGACGCATGAGGTGAGTCTTCTCACTATACTTTACCTAGTGTGGTAACATAGTTATGTGATAGAGTATTTTAGAGTTATATGTCAGTGTAATTGCATGTTATTTATGTGCCATGATTTATTGTGATATGTGCTATGTATGATTCAGAGTTACAGAGTTAGGACCTTCGGGTCTACAGAGTTAGGACTTTCGGGTCCAAAGAGTTAGGGCCAGAGGGCCCATAGAGAGTTGGGGCTGGAGGGCTCCACTGAGACACATAGACCTGAAGGTCAACAGAGTTACAACCTCGAGTGGCTATTATGTGTTAGAGTGGTATTTTGGAGAACTCACTAAGCATTTATGCTTACAGTGTTATGTGATATGTGTTTCAGGTACCAACGATGATTGCGGGAAGGCGCCAGCATGATCCATACACACGCATATCGGAGTATATATATATATATATATATATATATATATATATATATATTGATAATGGGTTTTGTATTGATACAATGTTGATATAATGATTTGTTTATGATTTCAAATGATATTTTATGAGTTACAAAAGTGAAAAAGTGTTCAAATTTTTACGGTGTTACAAAAAAACACCCACTGGCTATCCCGACGATCAGTCGTCGGTATAGGTATTTGATCGGCAACTGTGAAAACTTTGTGGCGACGACTAATTGTCGCTATAGGTGGTATCTATACCGTTAACATGTCATCGCTATATATATAATCTATCCTGACAACATGTCGTCTCCACAGGTAATTAATAAAACTGTATTCCTTTTTTTTTTTTTGAAAATATTCTCGACGAAATCTGTACCAATAAAAGGTCGTCGGAATAGGGGTACCTATCACGACATGCCTATGCCGACGACTCAGTCTTGAGAACTTGTTGTCGATACACCCTATACCGACGACTGCCATCAGTATAGGGTCAAAAATTGTCGTTACCACAGGGGGTTAATGTTGTAGTACTTATATGTATTTAGACTATTGAGGAGTTGTTTGTAATACCCAAAATATATTAGTTGCAATTGATGTGTTTAGGATGTAGCTTCCACAATATTTGATGTTTTATCCTGTATTTTATGAAAATTAAATCAAGATGTATCCTCAAATATAGATAAAAGCCTATGGTTAGTCAATGCTTATGGCCCATGTTGTAAAGAAAGCAAGGATAAGGTATAAAAGTAAAATGTAAAATTTTGAACATTAACAGATTAAGTACATATGATAAAAGTCATCATAATATTTAAGTTATAAGTTGGATTTTGTAAGCATCCATCTATATTAAATACAAATAAAATGTTTAGGAACAACAAACTAACCCATTCATGTTTATATAGATGTAATTGTCAATTGTTTAAGACAATTGTTTAAGACATAACTTAATGTAACAAGATGTTATTGCATTCACCTTTTAATATGAGGGTGTGTATGATCGAACTTTTAACCACCACCATTTGCAAATGCATGCAAGCTAGTGATTGTCAAGTAACACATATATTACACATTGTAAGACATAGACATACAAAGACAAGATCCATGTTTTGCATACTCAATCACAAATAAGATTATTTGATAGTATATTGCTAATATATTATGACAATATGTTACAATTCATAACATGTTTCCATGTATGGATAATAATGCATGCATGCATCCAAATATGATTTGAATTTCATATTCTTCAAATGTTCTTCACGTAAACTGATATTTTTATGCATATCGCTAAATAAGTTAATAATTTAAACGTAAAAATCCAATCATTAAATTTCTTACCTACATAATAAATATGTGGTATAACTTGTAAGGTAATTTCCTTTAAACCTAAAATCAATTATTTATTAATCAATGATTATATAATTACTATTTTTGTTTTATGCATTATATCATATTACCATTTACAAACATACGACTATAAGTCTATAATTACACGCTTCTACCACACCATACAACTTATCATCAAACCACAAGGAATGAAACGTAGTTAATCCAATTAGAAGGGTCTTAAATGTATATACCTACATTTTTGGAGGAGGTAAGTGCAATTTTATCCTTTAAATTTGTCAGGCCAAAATTAGAAACACAAATGGTCGATATTTTTCTTAATAAAACGCCGTAATTAGCTCCGACTCACCATCCCAGTCTCCTCACTCTCAACACAGAAAATCTAGGGTTTCAAATCACCGTGTCAATTTCGCTTTCGATCCTCTAAAACTATAAAGGTACGGCTAGATTTTCAAATTACATCACCATATCCGACATAGGGTAGGTATCTGAAAATTTGCTCCTACATTTGATGGTTACTCGCTATTTTATGCATTTACTGTACATGCTTATTCATGTAGTCTTCAAATTGATGCTTTTATGCATGATCTGTTAAAGGAAGGAGGCTTGATAAGCTATAATTGTATGTCAAGTGAGTGTAATTTTTATCTTCGTTCAACGATTTTATGGTAATCTGTGGTATTTTGCATCTTACTCCATCCTTGCTACTGATTCTGTGCAGGCGGTTGACTTTGTGTTTATGTTCTCATTTCAGTGTTTCATTGATTTTTTTTGTTGCTCGTTTGAAACTAAATTTGTTTTAGTCGCTCGATGTGTAATGCGATCATGTCTGAACATACGGATTACGTCGCAAGTGTTGTATCATGTAGAGCTTTTTTCGCTGATCGCTTATTTGCTGTTTTATTTGATGCACAAGTTGGCAAGTCGCCGTGAGTGCTAAAGGACGCAGACGAAATGAATACGTAATCAGTTAACCTAGAATTGATTATCAATAATCCGACCTAAGTAAAAGAAGAAATGTTAATCATGTGCAGACAATTCAGGATCAACTTGTAGGATCGATTAGTAAATTTTTTGAACTGGTTTGTATCTTCATTTCGACTTTCTGTTTTGAAGTGTTCCGATTTCCAAATAACCTAACTTTCTCGTACGTAGTAAATATTTGGTTCTGATTAGGGTTCCAGTTGACCTATCATGTTTGTTGTTGATCAACAGTCCAATTATTATCTGTATCTATATTAATTTTCTACATTGATTGTTTCTTATTTTTCCCTATATGCATCTGCTTCAGCATGTCATTAACTGTAGATCCTTCTCTTTTGATAATGAAGCTATATAACTTTATATTCGAAAGTTTTTATGGCATCAGGCTTGTAGCTTTATTTATGTGTTAGAACTCACTAATGAGTAATGACTGATCTTTAATTCTTTATCTATTTGCAGGCAAAATCTCTACATTCTTTTAAAAAAAATCTGTTTATAATCCAATGATGAACCTGGTCAACCAAGAAGTAAGACCCGAAGCATCACTAATGATTCCCGAAAAACGAAAACGTGGGCGCCCACGAAAGGATCCGAGTGAAAGACGGGCAGCAAAAGCCCGTTCACAAGCTGCCCGAATGCAACCCGGTTTTGCCCAACATCACACCACCACCCCCCGACTTGATCCAATCCATGATCCAACCCAAGTCATGATCGGTCAAACCGTAACTGGTGTAGTTGAAGCCACTTTTGAAGCCGGTTACCTCCTTGCTGTCAGAATCGGTAACTCAAATATAACCCTAAGAGGTGCAGTGTTCAAGCCAGGTCACACCGCTCCCATAACACCCGATAATGACGTGGCGCCACATGTCGAAATGATCAAAAGAACCCAAGTTCCATTTCCAGAAATGCAACCTCCGATCCGCAGGCGAAAAAGACGATCAAAAGAAAAGAACATGCAGCTCATTACTTATGTCCCCAATGGTTCTCCTGATCAAACAACACTCCCAAACTCACCTTCTAAAAATTACGTGTTTACCCCTGGTAGAGGAAATGTGACCCCGGTTGTTCTTCAACCAAATGGGCCATTACCGAATCAACCGCCGCCTCATTTGCGGGCCACACAAGGGAAACCGGTTCACTCGGTTTTGCCATTGGCGGTATACCCGCCGAACGGGTCAACAAGTCAAGCTTCTGAGTCGCAGACAAGCTCCCATTTTACAGGGTCTGGAAATGAAAATGTTTCAGTCAAACAAGGTGTGACAGATGGTCAACAGGTGGAAGGAAGTAGTAAGTCAACTGTTGGTCAAGCGGATCGGGTTGTGAAAATGGAAACGGATATTGGTGACATGAATGAGCCTCTTTTTGTTGAACCGTTGCAGACACGACACTCGGTTCACCATTTTCAACCTGCACCCGTGATGGGACCCGGACCCGGACCCGTTATGCATGCGGGAACCACCGGGAGAATGACTGAACTTTTACAGGTAATGTTTTCGCACTCTTCATCCTCTTAGACTACATCAAATCCATTACACCTATTTTTTGTGCCAAATCGTGTGATTATTGGTGTAAATATTGATTTATCTCCAACCCATTACACCATTTTGAACAACAAAAAGAGTATCCTTTTTTTTATTTGATATATTTTCAATGGTACCCTTATATTCATAAAATTGCATTTCCGACACATTTAAATAAATATTATTTAGAGTATAATAGTACAAGTAATAAATATTACATTTAAAATATCATTGTACAATTTTAGAAAATATCAAATCTGAAGGCCCAAATTGTAAATTGGAAGATTAACACCAAATTTAGCATAAAAAAAAAATAACGAGTTTTGGTGTTTGGTTGGAGATGCTGATAGTGTTAAGTTTTCCCAAAGTCACTCACTAGTAACCAATTTCACTTTGCATCACAACACATTGCACAAAAGAAAATCCCGTTTCTTATAATAAAATACCAAAAAAATACTTTCACTATTTTACAGATAATTACATACTTACAGTTTCTTACACATAATAGCAACATACTTACATGTTATTTATTGATGATGGCGATATCAATATGTAACAAAATGAAAGTACATTGCTCTTGTAGGTTTTTAAATATAAAGTACATTGCTATTATTATAGGTTGGTAGCAAAAGAGTAAAGTAGGTTGCTAATTTTAGTAAAGATAATACATGTAGGCTGTTCAGCAGAATATGGGTGATGATCAGGCTCCACGAAATGGACATCCAACTGCAAGTTTTACGGTTAACCGAAACAGTAACAGAGATGAAGAAACTAACTGATAATGAAGCCTGTAAGCTGAAAAAAAGTTGGATATGTTGATGTTGATTAATTGTTGTTTCTGTTTGTTATTAGTTATTAAAGCGCACCAAAGAACAACAAACAGCTAGGGTTAGGGTAGAAGAGTGTGCGCACTTTATTTATGTTTAATAGAAAAAAAAAAAAAAAAAAAAAGAAGCTAAGCTAAGCTACCTTGTTTATTATGTTGTTTCTAAAATAGAAAAATGTTGCATTGGCTTCCTAACTTTCTTTAACTTCCGTAAAAAGTAAGTGGATATTCTGTTAGTGTTAACTACTCATGTATGCAATGGAAAATGGTTTCATCTTGTTTTGCTGTGTTAAATGCTTTATAAAATTTTGCTTCTTCTGAGTTGTAACTTGTTATAAAGGACTGGACAAGCTTTTTTATTTTTTTATCATCTTTTATCACCTAGTCTGCCAAAATAAAAGAATTTAGTTTTTGATATTGAAAAGCCTACCATGTTTGCTTTGTTGATTTATTTATTTATTTTTAACTTTCATTAACCATGATAATAAAATAAAAACAAGAGTAAATTATGCGAATGGTAATGGTTTAGTGTAGTTTGTACGCATTCTCCTTAACATTTTTTTTTAAAAACTTTGGTGATCCTCAAGTTTTCAATATGTTGTGTGTTGGTCCCTGTCTTGATATTGTCTTGTTTCACCATTTAAACCTCTTATGTGCCTTTTATCATATCGGTATTTTTTATCATTTCAAATTACACCCTATCAAAGGTTTAATGATTATACACTATCATTACTCCATTTCCCACAACGGGCATGAAAAGAACACGCAAAAACCTTCAAAAGAGAAAACCCTAACATATACGCTTCAAGCAAACTATGGTGGTCACTTGGAGGATACATGCTACAACAAACAAAATTGTTGTTATTTGTAGATACAATATGCTTATACCGACCTTGTCAAGTTCTTAATCTCTCTGATGTTTACTTAATAAGTTCCATTGTAATGTTTTTCCTCAATCAACAACCTATTGTCCTACAATACTTGTCATTCGCTTACACCACAACGAGGAACTCATAATCTTTCCAAAAAAAAAAAGTATATCAACCGGAAGCAACGTTATGTTGCTGGACATGGATGCCTTTTCCGTTCACATGATTTATGACATGATGGATGACTTGGGTATTTGGTGAACCTAATTTGCTCCGGTATCATTTTCAAAGACCATTCAACGATTTCAATTTCGAGTGTTTGTATTGGGTTGTGATCAAGATGTCCACTATTTGTGTACATTTGTTGGTAAACATAAGATAATAGAGGTATAGTTGAAATTGAACAACCTCCAATTGACTTAATGCCCCCCCACCCAATCTAAGGTACAAATAGTTGAAATTGAACTTACACCCCGTTTCCGTTCCCGAGTTCAATTTAAGGAGAGAAAAGAAAGGAAATGGGTGGAAGTAAGAGGAAAGTAAAAGAAATTGGTATTTCCGAGTTTCATTAAAGGAAGGAAGTGGAAGGAAATGGAGGGATCACTTTCTCACTTTCCTTCCGATTTGGAAGGATTTCGAGAGAAAGAACAAAATATTTAACTTTCCTTGCACTTCTTTCCAACTCGGAAACACAAAAGAAAATTTTATTTTCATTTCTTTTCTCTTCTTTTCTCTCCTTACTTTCTATTCTCTTCTCTTATTTTTCTTTGCTACAACTCGGGAACGGGGTGTTAATGTCCCCCCACCCAATCTAAGGTACGAATAGTTGAAATTGAACAACCTCCAACATGTTTAAAAAAATAGTTTCTAAATTGGCATGAATCATTTGCAATTGACTTCAACAAAGACCCAAATATAGTCGAGCATGACAATACTACACCCACAGTTGACTTGGACAAAAACCCACAACTAGTTGTGCATGACAGAGTTGAACCCATGGTTGACTTGGACAAAGACCCACAATTAGTTGATTATGACAGTGTTACACACTTGAACATTAATAAGGATGTTGAATGGGTTGGAGGTGTGTCTACGACAAAGATAGCTAGTTGAAGTTACACAAGAAGACGACATTGAAATATTGAAGTTTTGTTGTCGGGGTCAGACGATGAAAAAGGTAGTGAAAGAAGGAAATTTATTAGATCTATACAAAATGCACATGAAAAAGATGAAGCCATGGTTAGTGAGCACTTGTATATATATTTTAGATTTTCAGTTCGACAAAGGAGTTTAAGGATCGAGTGAAGTTACACATGATAGAGAGTAGAAGGGGGAGTTTAAGGATAGAGACTAGAAGGGGATTAGACTATGTGCATTTTATTTAGGTTTAATAGAAAAAGCTACATTGGTTATGTTGTTCTAAATTAGATGGGAATAAGAATTGCCATTTTTCTTATTAGGTGCTCAGAATCTTAATTAAAAGTTTTGGTTTTTTACATTCAAAAAATCTACTATGTTTGATTTTTTTGAATTTATTATTCATTTATTTTTACTTTCATCAATTACATTCATAGAATCAATATTTATGAAGACTCTTAGTAAATTAAACTTGTAAAGGAAGTGAATGTTTACAATTTATTTTTGCTAAAATGCAGTGTAAAGATGTCAATCTTTTAGAATTTTTTAGTCTAGTTTTTTGTCTACAATTTTTTATTTTTTTTATTTTAACTTTACTGTATTGTTATGATTTTTTTTTTTTTTTTGCACACCATAGTGCCAATTCTTTCGAAGGGTCAACAAATTGTAATTTTTGTTTTATTAACATCAATCTGAATCACAGTGCACAAACATACATACAAGTACAATGCTCTTTGTTATGTTTTTATCTTAACAAACACCATAATTTATGGCCAAGCCACAAGACTATGTACTTTAGATATATTGTCCTGGTTTCAAATGACATGATAGCATTCTCTCTTCATAATCCCACCAAAAAAAAGACTTGAATTATCAAACAAAACGAGTTTTAAAATCAAACTCCGATTAAAAAAAAAAACTATACCACCAATTTTTTTAGCTATTATCAATTTCCAACCCACCTTGTATTTGAATTACAAAAAGAAGAAAACAGAATGAAGCACCAAAACTCAAAAAATGTCAAAACTTGATGAGAGAGAATAGCTTTTCAAGAAAACTTTGATACTAAAAAAGCATTAGATCCAGGGAGCGGCATTGGGCGGATGATGGGGTAAGGCGGTTGTGAAATGGGAATGTGGTGGCCCGGTAACATAAACGGGGTTTGACCACCACCACCACCGGCGGCGGATATAAATGGTGGTGTTGCACATAGCTGCAATGCTTGGGCTGCTGCACTTCCTGCAACACAACAAGCTTTTTTACTTTTATACCCTTTAGGAATTCAATTACATTCTTCAATTTTTTTTATTAAAACACAAAAACAAAAATACATTATCCAAATTTTTGAAGAAACAAATTTGTTAAACTAAATTGTATGCTTTGTGGACGCATTTCACCATTCCAAGGGATAGGTGGAAGGAATTTAATTGTATTCTTCATTTTTTTTCCTTAAAAGATTCGAATACCCAAATATATTAAATAAAGAAATATAAAAACTAATTCCCAGAGTTAAATTCTCTTATTGCACTACATTCCATTTCATGTCAGCACAATGCATGACAGGTTATCATTCCTTGAGATTCCAGTTCCTTTGGCAAATTCCATTCCTTCCAGAAACATTATGCGAACCAATCACCCCATCAATTTCTTGGCATGAGACGAAACTCTATTTACATATATATATATATACACATAATAAGGGCATTTACGTCTTTTAACAAACAAGGAAATGAGTGAAATGGAATAGTGGATTCCATGAATCCGATGGAATTGAATTCCAACAATTAGACAACCACACAAATCATGGAATGGAATGTGATTGATTACATTACCTTGGTGTTTAGGGACATGTACTTGGTGTGGAGTCAAGATAGAGCATGTATTCACTTGAGAGAAACCCGTCGTGCTCGGGACCACATCCTTCAAGAAATTTAAAAAAAAAATATTAAAAATTGTCCTTTGTAACAAACGGGACCCACCAAAGGATTGAAAAATCTTACTTGAGAGACTGGATGAACATAGACAACCGGTCCAAATCTTCCAACCATTACCTATAACAATCAACACACAGATCAGCAAAACCCTAAACAACTACAGATAGATTTAGATTTACAGTATAAAATAAAAAATGAAATGTGTACATTTTGAGTGGCGGGTTGAACATAGGTTGGTGTAGTTTGATATTGATTACTATATCTAACCGGTTGACCTCTATTTGTCATATATCCAACAATCTACAACCAAAAATTTAACAACATACAATTTCAATATTTTGGATTTAAATTTAACAATCCAAAATTTTTCATAAAAACTTACAGGTGGAGGATGATGTTGTTGTACATCGCCACCTCCATTTCCACCATACGGAAAAAACTTAACCGGTAAAGAACGAGGAGCATACGGGCTGATTTCAACTTCCGGTGGTGGTGCCGCCACTTGTACCGCCGGATAACCGTCCTGAACGTATGCAAGATTTGCTCCGGTGGGTATCACCGGAGGAGTAGCTGATCTTTTATTTGGAAACGAAGGAGAAAATATTTTTGCTCCTGGATTAAGTTTAAATTCCTGAATAAAAAGTTAAGTTTAATCAGTTTTGAAAAAATTGATTATGAATCGTATTATATGCTTCAAATATATATATATATATATATATATATATATATATATATATACCTTAGCAGTTTGATTAGAATTTGGGATTTTTGAAGTGATGGTTTCGGTTGGAGATGATGATGAACTCATAATTGATTCCTTTTGGTTGTTGGTTTTCACCCCATTACTTTGATAACTTTTCTTCTTTCTGCCATAACATAAGCAATTCATTTAAAAACTCAGTTTGTGCAAAAGACGTGAATGCCCTTTTTTGTCATGTTCATTACACAGGACATAAATTGCAAATTCTCGATATCCCAATTGTGAAAAAGACGTAAATGCCCTTCTCATCCTCACCTGTTATCATCTGAATCCTTCAAAGCTTCTTCTTTCTGTAGTTTATGAAGAATATATTAAAGATTGCAAACGAAACCATTACATAATCACTTTCAAAACGCAAATCCAAATACCCCTAAAATTCAATTCAAATATATATTCATTCATCAAATTTTCCAAAAATGTCACCTTTG